GGATGAGAGACAGAGAGTATAAAAAAGGACAAGACAGAAAAGATACTATTAAAAGGAAAAAGAGAGAAAGAGTGATTATGAAATAGAACGAGTATAAATTAAAAAAAAAGGATAGAGAGTATAAAAAGGAAAAAGAAAGAGAGAAGTAGAAAGTATGAATAAAAAGAGGAAAAGAACGGAAAAAGACAATAAATGGAAGCGAGAGGGAGAGAGATAGAAAATTTAAAAAGGGGCAAGAAAAAAGAAAGATTATAATAAGGAAAAAGAATGCGAGAGAGAGAGAGAGAGAGAGAGAGAGAGAGAGAAAGACAGTAAGATAGACAGGAATGGAATAAAAAGTAGTCCTTAAACCTTGGATTTGATAAGAAAAATTCATTTTAATATTTAAAAGCATATAGTTTTCAAAATTGTTCAAAATTCAACATATTTTCAGCGTTTTATTAATATAATAGTAAACCGGCACTGGAGAAGGAAACAACTTCTTTTGCCTTCTTTGCAAAATTGTTTATTTATTTTTTGGCTTAGGATGCTAGGTCATTTCAGCACCCAATCCAATCAGTCACTAAATTCAAAACCGTTCACATTCTGACTCACTCTTAAATACATTCTTTATCGAGATTATTATAATAATACATTATCAGAGACGAATTTATCGAGAGAGAGAGAGAGAAAGAGAGAGAGAGAGAGAGAGCCAGAGAGAGAGAAAGAGAGAGAGAAAGGGAGAAAGAGAGAGAGAGGGANGAGTGAGAGAGAGAGAGAAAGAGAGAAAGTGCGAATGGAAGGTTAGAGGGGAGAATATAAATAATAAAAGAAATAATATGTGAAGTTCACATCCATATTTATACATAGTTCAAGTGTTTGAAAGGAAAACACACGATCGACTATATACGCCGTTTTTTGCACTATCCCATCAGATATTGTAAATATTTGCTTTTGCAGTATTGGTAAATAAAACGAAATGATTTCCAGTCATTGATTAATCCGCCATCCTTTACTATTTACCTGGATCTAAAACGTTAATACAATCGATTGACAAATGCACAGCTGCTAAATTATAATCGAACTCGAACAAAATGAACAAATTTAGCCTATTTGACCACGCATCGTGTGCATCACGGTGTACCCAAGCATGATTTACCACGTTAGATAAGTTTTAATCCGGTATGTAGACCACGGAGTGTGGAGTGACAGGTGCATCCCGGGGTGCATCAACAGGTGTACACGGTGAATGCACTGGCGTCCTCGGTGCGTCTACGGCAGATGGCCATGCATCCCGAATGTAAATTAACCGGTAAGAGATCCCAGGAAAACGGGCCCCTCTCACGTCATAATCCTATCAAATTAATCTATCCTAAATTCTCACTTTGTCCAGCTGGAGCCGGTTTAAAATGATGTCCGGAGGAATGAGGAAGACGGTACTGTACAAATTACGTGAAAATGGTACAACTGATAGTGTGTTTCTCATCTGCCATGATCGAAACATACACCGGACTTGACAAATTTTCTGGATTTTGTCGAGGTCGATTACGCGTCCTGCAAAAACGGTTTCCCACGGTGCGCGTCCTCGAAGATGGGGGCTCATTGTTTGCCCTCGGTCCTTTTTTTGGCCCTTTTATTCCGCCCTTTTCTCCCCAGAATCCACGGACACTAAATCTGCCCGGCGAGGACGACGATGGGGGCTCACTGACGTTCTCAATGGGGGGCAAATTGACCCCATCGCGAAACGTCGCATTGATTTATCATTAATGACAGACGGAAATACTGTTCGGTTTCCCGACTAACCTTCACATCTACACAGTTCTTGAAATTTTATCTACGAGGTGAAGTCTAATTTTTTCAGTCAATTTTCTATAAATAAAGATAATAATAAAGTCTGTCAAGCACTAAAAATCATTTTATCGATGATATTCGCATATCATATCTATTTTTTACATAATATAATTTACATAGTTTAAAGGCTTGACAATTCTGAGACAAGATTAGATTCAATTTATAAAATTAATTGGCTGCTGGTTCGCCAATTAACGCTCTTTTGAGTCAAATATTCAGCGAAACTAAACGGACCCATCTGAAAAACGCAATCCTAAGAACGTTCAATGAAATAACAAATACGAACTTTTTCTGTAGTATGTTTGATCCTATGTGGACTACACTTTTTCAGATATTCTGTTGTCCAAAATTATTAATGAAATAATTTTTCGCAAGTAGGTTTTGAGCCTGCCTGGTCTACCATTTTATGAGTAGATATTCTTTCCAGCGAAACTATACAGACCCATCTGAACAACGCAGACCAGAGAACGTTTTGTCAAAAATAACTAACGAAATAATTTTTCGCAAGCAGGTTTGAGCCTGCCTGGACTACACATTTTTGTATCGTCATTTTTTCGAGACGGTCCAGCGAAACAATACGGACCCAGCTGAACGATGCAGGGCAAAGAACGTTTTGTCAATAATTACTAATGCAAGCATTTTTTGCAAGTAGGTGTGTCGTGTCAGTCACATACATACATTTTTTGGGTATGCCCAAGCGGTCCAGCGAAATTATACGGACCCATCTGAACAACGGAGACCATAGAACTTTTTGTCAAAAATTACTAATGAAGTCTTTTTTTGCAAGTAGGTTGGTGCCAGCCTGGACTACGTTTTTTGAGTAGATATTCTTTCCAAGCTGTCCAGCGAAACTGTACGGACCCATCTGAACAACGGAGACCAACGAACTTTTTGTCCAAAAATTACTAATGCAATTTTTTTTGCAAGTAGGTTGGAGCCTGCTTTTTTGAATAGATATTCTTTCCAAGCTGTCCAGCGAAACTATACGGACCCATCTGAACAACGCAGATCAATGAACGTTTTGTCTAAATTTACTAATGCAAGCAGGTTTGAGCCTGCCTGGATTCCTCCTTTTTTGAGTCCATATCTGTAGTGGTTCAGCGAAAATGAACGGGCCCATCATTTTTTTTAAATCGACCTGGTATTTCATTGAATCAAAGAACTATGGCTGAGTGATTTATTGGAATAAATTATCATAAAAAGGTAATGCATGCAACGTCCACATAGTTATTGATAATTCATTTTTTTTCTGTGAGGCCTCGGTTGAGATGAAAAAGTTAGTGTCACGAGCGGGATTCGAACCCACGACTTTCGGCAAGAAGTTCGATTCCCGCTCGTAACACTAACGTTATCATCTCAACTGACATCTTACATAAAAATAATAATTAATTGAAAGAAGCAATTTGGTGAATTAGACCACTAAAATATAATGGAGTTATTGATAATGTGTGATGGCCATGAGAAATGATAGGTATAGCATCTTGTAATCTGTAATTGACCTGTGTTTTTGTTTGTTTATTTGTTTGTGTCTGCGTGTCGGAGATGTTTGAGGGTAGCTGGCCTAGTTCAGACTTTGGAAAGGATTGCGATTTTTTTATGATAATAGAAAGACTGTTCCGGCATCACAGCTACTCTTGAAATTCCTTGAAATTGGTCTCATCCTGTCGTTATAATCAGCGTTGTCGTCGTACGCTCGACCCCCGCACGCGTAAAAGGAGCGATTTTGATCCGAGGATGGTTTGTACGACAAAAAAAAGGGATAGAACGAAACTCCTAGACGTGATAATAGGCGGCCGTTTCCCATCTGTTATTCCTCAAATGAAAATTGCCGAAATCGCAATTTGGGCGGGTTCTTACTTTTTTCTTCCCACTTCGACGATAGTCCGCGAGGACCTGTTGACCTGTAAAGAGCTATTTACACGATCACTATCAAGTCCTGGGAAGGACGAAAGGACAAGGTAATACCCATTATTTCCCATATGCCCATTATACAACCCACTATAAACATTCTTAATGCTTTTGCAGTAACATAAACGACAAACATTGCTCTAACGACTTCACTTTACTCGCCTTGAGCTTTCGAATTATTAATTTGGTCAATATGAAATCGTATAAAGACATTTATAAGAATGATCAATTTAGCGAAACTAAGCGGATCCAAGGGCAAACTGTCAACAGAATTCAGGAAAATCGTAAAAGCTGGGAATTTTTCTCTCTTGCAATTTGTTTTTATTTAGAACATTTGTCAAACATTACCAATTTAGCGAAACAAAGCGGACCCAAGAGCTAATGTCAGGTCTCAGGCCGTATTTTTTGTCTAACGATCATGACTGGTGATTTGTCAAATAAATATGATGTATTTAGCGAGGCTAAGCGGACCACAAAACATTACCCAGCCCTGACCATTCACAACTTACTTTCATACATCTCTCTAACAAACAATTCTATTGTAAAAATATATTATTATAATATTTATTGCTGTGTTTATTGAGACCATTTACTAAATCTTTATTTAATATTTAAATTTATTTAGCGAAACTAGGCAGACCCAAGGGCAAAAATGTTCAAAAATCCCAAACTCAAATGACTTTTTTATCTTTAAAGAACAAGACTGATAAAAGAATGCTCTTGTGATATATATTTAGTCATAATTGTTTAACTATTTACAAAATACAATCTATTTGGTAAACTAAGCAAGATACCCAAGATACCAGATCAATCTTTGCAACCTAGGTGATTTGTCTAATTGATCTAGTTATGAGGTCATTGATGAAACAAATTGAAAACCAGGGGATAAAGTTCACTTTTTTTTAAATGAAACTGTGATGGGCCCGCTTTCTTTTGTCGAATTTGGACAGAAGGCAAATAAACTTATATTTGAAAATATATCCCCCCACCACCCTAAACTAAAAATTTTGCCTATTGGACCAAAAGGATTATCCGTTTCGGTCAATTTCCCAATAGATTTACAAACGTATTTTATAATCGTTTTGCCCATTCAGTCAGTTTTTCTCCTCTTTTTTTGTTTGTTTCGCCCGATAAACTAATTTCGGCGAGCTGTCCTTGTCTCTGCATCTTATCATCGTTATCAGCTTCCTTTTGCTGAGACTTTGCCCGAGTAACGAATTTCGTTGACGCGTTTCATTACAATTAATAGTTACATAACGGAATAAACCTCTTTGAATTAGAATTTTAATCTCAACCTTGCAGGGAGGATAAGCCGACTGGAGAACCGTACGGTTTTACAATTGACTTCTTGGTGGTGGTAACTTCTCCGGTGCCGTGTGTATCAACCTCAGTCCTGGGCAAAACGTTTAAAAAGTTAATTTATACAAAGATTTATTGATTTTTTGACAAGGCTTTTACCTTCTTCTTGGAGCTGACTGACTTCCTCTTCTTCGTCTTCGACGTCTTGTGTTTTTCGTCTTTTATCGCAACACCTACGTACTGTATACCGTGAATCTCATCGTTTTTATACCTAATAGTACAAAAGTGAAAACAAAATAGTCAAATTGGCCAAAAAAGTTAAAATTAAAAAACAACAACATGGAAGTTTTGTCTAGTGCCTATCTTAGAACTTCCACCCCAATTAATTCAGTTGTTCCTGTAAAAAACGAAATAATAATACTCGAATTACTTCTTTCCGGGAATTTTCTGCCGATATCGTTTTAAAAGGCACCACAGACTCAAGTCAGATATTAAGGTCGATGTACAGTAGGCCTTGAGGCCGCCTCTCTTATCCTATCCCCCATGTGTCTTACCTGTCATAATATAGAAGAACCTAGATAATCTACAGTATCCAAAGGTACCATGTATGATCTACATGCCCTATATAGATTAGGTACACAAGAGCACTATGAAGACTTCGGTCTTTTATAACTGGCCAGCCTGTTAGCGCAGATTATGATAAACTAGAAATCCCCATTTATTCCCACCGTAGTACAGAAGGATCTGAACAATCTTGAGTATCCAAAGTTGAGAAGTAATGGGGTTCCAATCTTCGTAGAGGTCATTAGATAGGTGAAAAAAGGAGACTATAAAAGCGTTCTGGGTTTAAGGTATGGAGCACATGGCCAGCATACTACATTTTTGACGGTGAAAACAGACATCTCGCTAAACATCCATTTTTTGTTTGTTTTGTTCTGACCAGCATTTCTTACAGGTACATTTGTGATCACAGAGAATATATTTAAAACTAAAATTTCAGCTATATACAGAAACTATGTAAAAAGGATTAAAATTAATTAGAGAGAGAGAGAGAGAGAGAGAGAGAGAGAGAGAGAGAGAGAGAACAGAGAGAGAGAGAGAGAGAGAGGAAAGAAAGAGATTGATTATAGGAAAAATAGTATGGTTATAAAAAAAAATTCCACAGCAGGGAAAAAGAGAAAGAAAGGAGAGAGGGTTATACAAAAGAAAGAAATACAGAAAAGGGAGTTACTGGGTAAATGAGAGGGAGAGAAAGAGTGAAAGCAAGTGATTATGAGAGAGAGAGATGAACAGAACAAAAACAGAGAGATAGAGAGATTACAATAAAGAGTACGTGATTAAGAAAAAAACCGCCACAGCAGGAAGAGATTGATTGATTGATTAAACATTTTATTTCATCATGATCCATCCCTTAACGTGAGTTGTATATTTTACATGTTACACATAGATTTATGCAGAATGCAGACTGACCCCTTTGGTCTTTACAATGAAGTGAGAAATACTTTTTAAAAGGATAGTTCCTACTCACAGTAAGTTTTTTTGCAACGATCCGGATTTCGAGCCTTTTAGCTCATCATCAGNGAGAGTGACGAGCTCCGTCGCTTCTGGTTGGATTGCTATGCTTAGTCAGAAAAAAAAATAGTCGGACCTCTAGTCATATGGATTTTTAGGGAGATGTCTGTTTTCACCGTCAAAAATGTAGTCTGCTGGCCATGTGCTCCATAATCTTAAACCCAAAACGCTTTTACAATAGTATTCCATGATTATTCGGAGATCGTGAGATGCAGTCTGGTGGAACCTAGGTTTTAGAAAAACATTTTCTCTATCGTGCCAACGTTTCTATCTTTATTGAGATCATCTTCAGGGCTCAAAGTGTTTGTTTTCTGCGTAATTGTACCATTCTTGTGTGTCGTGCTGAGACTGCCCTAATTACCAAACATAGTTTTCCTTGTTAATCGTTTTCTTCATTCTTGGTAAAGCCCTGATGATGGCGCTATAATGTGCCGATAGCTCGGTGAACCCAGCATTTAGACTTCTTTTTTTTCAGCTGTCTAATGACCTCTACGAAGGTTGGAACTCTACATGAATTAGTTCTCAACTTTGGATACCCTAGACTGTTTAGATCCTCTGTCCTACGGTGGGAATAAACGGGGATTTCTAATTTATTATAATCTCTTCTACACAGGATGGACTGGGGAGTTATCGACCGTAAAGGGCACCGTAGTCTTCATAGTGTTCTTGCGTACCTAGCCTATATAGGACATGTAGATCATACAAGGAACCTTCGGATACTCTAGATTATCTAGGTCTTTCTATATTATAGCACATGGAGATTTCTAGACTACGTGGCAATTTCCACTGAATACGCTGTCCTGAGTAATTATGATACAGGGCATCATAGTCGCGTCACAAACTTTGCCAGTAAATTTCACACCTTCAGAGTGACAAAAAATCCATATGACCCATGGTCTCTTTATCAACTTTTCGTAGAAGTTCAGTTCAGAATTCAGAAAAATTGGACAAAAGATTTACACTAAATACAGGAAAAAAAAGAAAATCATTACAGTAGTTTCTCAGTTAATTATACATAATTTTTTCGAAATGAAAAATTTGTGTCACGGTCGGGATTCGAACTCACGATTTTCGGCTAAATACGCCGCTGCTCTACTAATTGTGCTACCGTGAATTAGATCGCCCATCCCGCCTGCGACACAAATTTTTCAATTCGAAAAAATTGTGTGTAATTAGAGGAGTAATTATATAATTAAGCATAAGCTCATAAAATAATTAAAAAAAGTTAATATTACAGAAGTTGTAAAAGCCAGTAACCCCTAATAAAAAAAGTTTTAAAAAAATACAACGTAATTTGATTGTTCACTATGCTTATTGTATATATTTTTTTAATTTTGTTTGATTTTTACCTTGAATTTTTTTTGTGATTTTTATTGGATTAGGATTGGGTTTTACATATTCTACATTGTTTTTTTTTTGTCTGTGTGTAATTTTGTCCAATTTTCTGTTTTGTTCGCTATGTTTATTGTCTCCTTTTTTCCATTGTTCTTTCTTTTTGTGCTTTTTCATTACGTTAAAGTTTTGTTAAGTTGGGAAATGAATTGTGCACGGGACAAAAAGTTGGATTGCTAGGTTAACCCCAGTCCCCCTTTTCATACAATCACCATTTTCCCCCCATTTAGCGTAAAATTTCAGCATTTTGATTCCGTGTAATTAAAGAAAAGCGTATACTACTAGAAAGCTTATTAAACGAAAAAGTGGTTATGAAATTTTCCAGGCTTCACCGTGAATTTTCCAAATTTTTTTTTCCACCAATTTTAAATTTAGCAATTTTCGAAAGAATTAGTGTTTGGTTTTTACCAAAAATTAAATTGAAAGTGAAGGGTGCTTTTTTTAAACGGAAATTTAATGCTCTTTTCAATGACTTTTTTAAATTTCTCCAAAAATTATTTGTTCAGGAGATTAGAGTAGATTTATGACGAAAATCGTAGATATTTGTAAAACCGTAAAATGTTGATATATCTGCGAAAGGATTGAGAATCAGACCTTGGTTCATATGAACTTTTTTGTCACTCTGGAGGTGTAAAATTCACTGGCAAAGTTTATGACGCTAGTAGCCTGACACCCTATATAGAGAATGTATTTCTATGTAGAACACCTAGACAAAATTGTACTTCCTAGAGATATGTTTGGACTTTAGTATATCATCCTAGACAAAGTAAACCGGCTTGAGCTATAGTCGGTTTACTAGACTTCATAGGATAATTTATACTAGGACAAGAGGACTTATACGGGATATTATAGACAATATCATGGCATCCTAGAGGTTTTAGGGCATCCCAGATTTGTACAGGTCATGATTGATTTCCATATTACATAGAATATTCTACCTACATCGTATATGAGATCCTAGACTTCATTGGACAGTATTGGGTTTACTGGAGGGTGCAGGATTTTCTAGTTTATATAGGACATTGTAAATTTTAGGGTATTCTGTTTCGTCATATTTATTAATTCTGTTTTACCATTTTTGGCCCAATATGTCAATATATTGCAAAAGAACGACTATTAATCCCAGACTACAGACAGAACACGATGGAATAGTTAATTTATAAGGTTACTTTGGGTCGTTCCATGGGTCGTCGGGGTCTTCCTCCGTGGTCCAGACATTGCAGGATTTACACTTGACGTTGCCCGTCGTCATCATGAACAGGTCCGAAACGCTAGATGTCCTCCTGGTCAGTTTATACCTGAAAAATCGTGCGTTTAGCTTTTCCGTTTGAAATATAGGATAAATTGATTATTTACTTGAGCGGAGGAGGCTTGAAGGCCGGTACGGTGTCGAACACCTCCAAACTGGGTGGCTCTTCTTCCTCAACGTTTTCCGCCAATTCTTTGTTGCTCATGTCTTCCTGGAAATTGTAGGAAATTCTCGTTAATAAAATGTTTACTGAACTGCATGTAAACTTTGCAAAAAAGATACATGGAATCACGGATCTATACCACATAGGGCATCGTAGACCTTTGGACGCTCTAGATAATAGGTACTTTTATATTATAGCAAGTATATTCATGGAGATTATATCCAAGACTTTAGGAGGTATTCTCGAGTGTGTAGAATTCTAGATTATATAGGGTACTCCAGACAACATATGACAGTTGAAATTCTGAGTATTCTAGAGTATATATGCCATACTAGACTAAGAAGTAGAGGCTAAGGACGTGGGATGATCGATGTTAGTGATTTTTGGCTGATAATAGGGCGAAAAATTTTATGTTGGTGTCCGATCGTTCTTGTTGTGGATCTAGAAGACGAGAAAACTAAGGAATAATCCAAGGCGTCGTAGACTTTGCAAGGTGTTCTCAAGTTTATTGTATTTTCTACTATATACAGAACACCCTAAACTGTAGTGGTTATATACAGGGCATCTTTCTTTAATTACAAGGTATTCTAGAGTGTACAGGATGTTGTACCATATGCAAAAAATCCTAAACTGTAAAGGGGATATACAGGGCATCTTAGAATCTACAAGGAATTCTCGATTCTATAGAATATAGCATCATATGCAGAACTCCTAGAATGTAGTGAGCATATATCCTAGGCTTTACAAGGCATTTTGAAGTGTACAGGATGTAGTATCGTACGCAGAATTTCCTAAACCGTAGAGGGCATTTACAGACCAACCTAGACTTTACAAGGTATTCTGGAATGCATAGGATGTAGCATCATGCGCAGAACATCTTAGCCTGATGTGGGCATATACAGGTCATCCTAGACTTTACAAGGTATCCTGGAGGGTATAGGAATGCAGCACAGTCTACAAAGGCCATCTAAAGAGAATTCTAGGCTGTGTATGGACTCTATAGGACTGTATAGGATAGCTTCTATTAATGGGAATCCTCGACTAAGAAGGACATCAGAGACTATATAGGAATATATATACCTAGGCTATATCCCAGTGTATCCCAGCATATACAGGAAATTCTAAGTTGTATAGAACATTATAGATTACACATGACATCCTCAGCTACGTAGAAAATTCTAGACTGAACCGGTTCATAAAGCAAAATTTTTAGTAAATAGTTTCTTTTTCATGCATAAGTACAATTTTGCTCTGCTTGTTTTTAAAGATCAGAGAATTCAAATGGAATGTCGGAAATCTATCTCCACTCGTGATGACCTTAGAGTTCGTTTTTCTTTTAATAAATCAAATAGACTGTTAAGTAAAGTTAGGTTGTAAAGGTTTACTGCTTACTCTCCTCTTGAATCTCGCTCTCCCTTGACTCTGCTTCTGCTTCTTCTTCTTCTTCTTCTTCCTCCTCCTGGACGACCTGTGTATCAGCGTGTTCGTCTTCTTCCTCTGCTTCCGCCTCATCGCTTTGATGAAAGGGGCGGTCGAGACCTTCACCTTCGGCTTGGGAGGATAGACGTACCTTACGAGGCTGTAAGCCGGGGCGAGCTTTTTCGTGATGTCGTGGTTAATGAAGCCAAGGAGGTTTTTGATGCAGTATATGTTGGGCGGAGGTGCCCTCCATGGGAACTGGGAAGCCGGCTTCCCAGCCAACTGGGCCTTACCTTTCAACACGTTCATACCAGAAGGGCCAAACGGTCTATTCAAATTGAATGTCTCTAATTTTGACAAATTTTAAATATACATACAAACAATTCTGATTTTTGACAAGCAATTTGACCTTTTTCAGAAATCACATAACAAACTCGGATCAGTTGATTTCAAATTTCAACGCCATATGTGATAAATAACAAATGGAACTTTTTACAATGTTCAATTCACAGTTGGAAATAATTTTTATCAAAGCACAAAATTAACTCTATTATATAAAATTTCTATCAAAATTACACTTAAAAACTATAATTAATTTTTTATTTTTTAAAGAATAAATGAAAATTAAAAAATAAATGGAAATTAGTGTTTCAGTTCTGTTTAAGTTTAAGAACCATATGTTTTTTCTAATTATCCCTCCAGGGCTCTGTGGGGCGGTCTTTTTTACTGCACTGAACAGGGATAAATCCTTAATTTTGTGAACGCTGTTAGTATCCAATGAAGTCTCACATTACTGCGCCATGCATTCCGAAACAACTTTATAACCTCAAGAACGAGGCCACCTCCCAGTTTTCTACCTATACCTCCTGACATATCATTTTAAAGGATTTTTGATAATGTTAAGGCAAAAAGTAATTTGGTTCGCTATTTATTAATCACATTTCATGCCCGAACTGACCGTCTTGGGTAAAGATGCAAAGATTTACTCTTTTACCCACCCTTCATCGATGCTCATAGCGATGGAGTCAGGGGAGATGGATTCACAAGCAATTTGTATCCTTTGCCGCAGTTCGTCAACTGTGGTTGCTAGTTTATGATTGGCGTGGGCACTGTTTTTTCAATGGCCCCAGAGAAAATAGTCCAATGGAGTTAAATCGAGTGACCAAGGTGGCCAATAGATCTGGCCATGGGGTCCTATCCACTTATTCGGGAAGTGACGATTCAAATAAAGTCTCACCTGCAAAGAATCTTATGCGGGGCATCTATAAAGCTGGAGAATCATTGTTGGTAGTTGTTGCAGGGAAACATCATCTAACCACCACCAGTGCTCAGAGTGGTTGAGTCAGGGGTGGATTGGCAAGCAGTTTATATATCCTTTGCCACAGTTCGTCAACTATGGTTTCTAGGTTATGATTGGTGTAGACACTGTTTTGTAAATGGCCCAGAGAAAATAGCCAAATGTAGTTAAACCGAGTGACCAAGGTGGCCAACAGATTTGGTCATAAGGTCCTATCCACTTATCCGGAAAGTGGCTATTCAAATAAAATGTCACCTGCAAAGAATCATGTGCGGGGCATCCATCAAGCTGGAGAATCATTCTTGGTAGTTGTTGCAGAGGAACATCATCTAACCACCACCGGTGCTCAGAGTGATAGAGTCAAGGGAGATGGATTGACAAGCATTTTCTAACATTTGCCGCAGTTCTTCAACTGTGGTTCCTAGGTTATGATTGGGGTAGACATTGTTATTTAAATGGCCCCAGAGAAAATATTCAACTGGAGTTAAATCGAGTGACCAAGGAGCCCAATAGATCTGGCCATGGGGTCCTATCCACCTATCCGGGAAGTGGTGATTCAAATAAAGTCTCACCTGCAAAGAATCATGTGCGCGGCATCAATCAAGCTGGAGAATCATTTTTAGTCATTTTTCAGAGACGTCATCTAATAGTTTCGGTAAAACCTCCCTCAAAAAATTGAGGAACTTAGCACCTTCGTCAAAATAAGGTCCAATTTTTATTTACGAAAAGTGCTCACCAAAGTTGATACTGTGAAACACTTGATGATGACAAGAGTACGAAATTCAGGGGATTTTTATCTGCCCACGTTCGAAAATTCCGAAGGTTGTCTCAGTTTAGTCCTCAGCCTCCCAAAGCGACATTTGTGCAAGGAACGTCAGACGCCTGTCATAATCAAGAGTCCCGAAGTCCCTGGACAAGATTAGAGTGACACGGCTTAAAATTGCAAGTCCGTGGTATATATCTAATTTAATTTTTCTCTAAAACCTAAAACCCTTCTAACATTTCCGAGAGGGGATTTCGGATTTTCGCGAACATACCGTAAAATCCATTATATTTAGTGGTATGATAAAACAAATTACTTATTTCAATTAATTATTCTTTGTATGCAATGTCTTAGATGTAATGATAAAGCTAGTGCCACGAGCGGGATTCGAACCCTCGACTTTCGGCTCAATACGCCGCTGCTCTAACCACTTGAGCTATCGTGACTTCGACCCACTCGGACACCAACTTCCCATTTCAACCTATAACGATAAAGCTGAATCGAAGTATTGAGCCGAAGGTCGTGAGTTCGAATCCCGCTCGTGACACTAGCTTTATCATTTCAATTAAGACCTTACATTCAAAGAATAATTAATTGAATACCGTAAAATATTCAGCTCTTCGTCGAAATTACGCTGCCGAGTTCTTGGTGATGGAACAGCGACTGATCCTCATCTCCTCAAATTGCTATCAACATGAATAAACGTTTTGTGGTTTACTCTTGGGGCGATCAGGAAATTTCTGGTAGTGCAACTCGACTGCACCACTATCAATAAAGCAGTATGTAACCAATAGGTACTATTGTAAAATTTATTTACTTCCGGGAAGTAAATTTGCTCTCATAACGCGAGTTTGACAAATAATGAATGTAAACAATAAAGGCAATTAAAGTTTATTTTAATGAAGAAGCAAATTATTGAAATTAAAAACAAAATGCGTTTTTTTCATACTTTTTGCCATAATTTTGTCATTTTTTGACCAATTTAAAATCCGCTTGCGCCATTGTTTTCAGCGTAAACAATCCTTTAAAAGGATTTGGCAGGATGTATAGGGTCGTATTTGCCATTTTGAAGTTGCACTGGGCCTGAGGTACTCTGTATAATTTTTCTCCATTTTTTCCTCCATTTGCCAATAGAGATTCAGCCGGGCCACCCAAAAAGGGCACCCTGTACTTGTACAATTTATGCAATAATTTGTAAAAATGCATATCAACCATTTAACTTTTTTTTCTTTTCTCTTGATTATTTTTGTGACCCCTTGGCTTCCAAATTATTAAATGTCGACTGTAAAATATTGTAGCTCTAAAGATGGACCAGGTACATGGCCCGAAATGCATTCAATAAAAACAAATTGGTGTTTAAGTAAGGTATTGGTTGAGAGAAAAAAGTCATTTCCACGAGCGGGATTCGAACCAACGACCTTCAGCTAAATACGCCGTTGCCCTACCACTTGAGCTATCGTTTCAATGTCACAATAGCTAGGAAGGTCATCTGTTCGAATCCCGCTCGTGGCACTGACTTTTTTATCTCAACCAAAGCCTTAATTAATTGAAAAGAATTTATTTGGTGTCTGGTTCCAGAAAAGTTCCATGACGCTAAAAATTAAGATACAATCTAGAACTAAAAAAACGTAACAGAACATAACAGTGTTTGGACATGTTAATTGTTTGTATTTTTTGATGTGCAAGGAAAGAAATAACTATGAATTGTTCGCCGTTTCCCCGAATAATTAATTTCTTTAACAATTCCCACATAAAGATTTGAAGCGGCCTCGACATCCCTTTTAAACTTAAAACTTCGATTTAAAGATAGGTCGAAATCTTGTAGCAAGAGGTACCATACTTTATGGTTGGAAAATTCAATAAATCACCGTCAACTTTTTTTTGTGATTTTGTTTATCGAGTTTTGTGTTTCCCTAGCCAGAGTTAAGTCACTAGAATTTCAATAGAAGTCACAATGCAAATTGATTAATGTAACATGTCCTAAAATTGTATTTTTTCACCAAGGGTCAGGATGGTTTTTTCCGTTTTAGAAGGGGAGGCATTTTGCGACCCTACTTCTACGAGAGAATAAAACACAATTAGAGCCTCCATTTTTTAAAGAATTATTTTCGATAAGAAAATGAAATTGTTTACGCGACTTTGTTGCCACAGAGAATAAAGTCGGACTTCCGCAAATGTCAAAACTTTTCTCGTTTTTTCATACTTGAAATGTCAAAACCACGGCTGTTCAATGTATACACACACGGGTCTTTTAGACGACATTGGGGCGGTAAACCAGAAATGTACGACGCACGAAGAGACAGGAAGAGAAGGAAGGATCGACCACGGCGGGAGGTCCTTTCCCGCCAAAACCCCACTCCAGACGTGTCCTTGTTACAGGATAAGATTATTGACACGGCGGTGCAGGCAATGTTTTCGCTTAGGTCGAGGTCAGGGAGGCTGTTACACGTGTGGGTCCGTTCGGCACATCCGGACTCTCTCTCTTTCTCTTTCCTTTTATATTCTGGGCCCTTTAATGTCCAAAATGACCAACTTTGCCATTGATACTCCGTTGAGGTGGTTTTCCGAGCGTTTTCGACCCCACTGGACCCCTCACGTCGGAAAGGATGTTGAAATCGAAATTCTGGGCCATGATCTTTGATTTTCCCCTATAAATTAACTCTGAAGTCCCACGTCGGTGATGTGGCCGAAAAGGCTTGCAGGAAAAACAATTCGCACCCGCTTTCACACCCGCATCCGAACTTCGTTCTTCAGCTGTGTACAAGGACGAACCATAAATAAAAAAAGAAAAAGTTCAATTCTAGCCAATTTTTCAATTTTTAAAACTGGGCTCGTTTCATAAAACACTCGTAGGGAAACAATTCAACACCATAAACAGACAAATAAAATAAAATAAATAATAATTCCTTCTTGAAGGATTGAGGTTGGTTCGGACGTCCAATACATTTGCATAATAAATTTCCTTTTTATTTATTATTTCCAGTTTGAATGAGTGAGTCGATAGAAATCACTGGATCAAAAAATTCCGAGGATAAATGCGGGATTCGAACCCATGACTTCAGTACGACAATCTAATGCACTCTGACAATCTTTCGACCCAGTGTTGTTTTTCCCATGGCTTGTACTTTTATTCTTTAACTTTTGATTGTTTCTCTAAAGTTGTAATAATAAAAGCCTAACTCCATAAACGAGCAATAAAATAATCAATATCGCCTAGTTTCAACACACAGGGTCATTATGGTTGGAATTTTCAATAAACCATTTGTAAACTGTTCTAATTCTTTTTTTAAAAATTTTCGTTTAATTTTTTCGTGATTTTCTTGCCAGAATAAAGCTGTGAGTCAATAGAATTGAATATTGGGTAAGAAAATTCCAAGGACCAAACTAGTATTCGATCCCAGGACCTTGCTATTACAAAAAAAAAACTAA